CGGCAAGGAGGCTTTAACCCCCTAGTTCACAGAAATAAGTATGGCCTAGGCCATGCCTTTGCAAAGATGCATATGGAACCTTCCTGCACAATGCCAACCCATTGAGAACATAAAGCAATATTTGGAGCCAATTAATCAAATGAAGTGTCATTCATCCTTAACAAAAAAGAGTAACGATAATCCACTGAGACCAAAAAATAAATACGAGACTATTTAAGACATTTTTAAAGCTATTGAAATCAGTGCTAAGGGACAAGTTAGCACCCAACCCTCCTCCACTGCTGGACACCACTGCTGTCCCCAGGTGCCCAGAGCTGGGACACCAGAGGCTCAGGCTCACACTGAAGCCCACATGTGATTTTTTTTTTTTTTTTAATTAGGAGCAAGTATGATCAGCAGTATAGTAGACTGATACTATGACGAGGTGGCTATTTCTGAGGTCAGAGCAGGTATGAAAAGCTCACAGGAATGATGCTGCAGAGCCGACGCTGCCAAGAGGACACGTGTGGCGGGAGGCAGCAGGTCTTCAGCCAGGCACCAGAAAGCCAGGCCACCCGTGTCCTGCCAGCCAGTGTAATGCTAGTCCTGCAGCCATACAGACCTGCACCCATCTGACAACAGCACAAATGCGGGCATGTTTGCATTTCCATTGGCCTGGCTTACACGTAGTATTGGGTTTCTTGCACTGCCTGCTTCAGTGTGAGAGAGGACCAAGGTGAGCGGGACCAGGAGCACCAACCCACCATCCCCATCCCTCCCCCGAGAACGACACAGGTGCCGCTCTCCCAGCTGGGTGGCACAGGGATGCCAGTCCCACAGGCATGGGGCTGACGACTGCCTGCGGGAAGTGCCTCTCCCTCTCCGGACAGCCGGAGGAAACCCAGCCTTTCAAACTCAGCCTTTCACCCCATGTAGCTTATTTTAGCCAAGTGTCCAGGTTTGGGAAGACTTGCATCCTATTCCAGCTTTGGCTACGTGCTGCCAGTTTAATTTCTGCTCCAATTATTGTCACACCCAGACACTTGATCTACTGTCAATTAGCACGGATGGGGCTCTGCCCCACAGCCTGAAGCCCATGTTTCCAGCCCCCCCAGCCAGAAAGCTGCTAATTCTGGCAGTATGGGAACGGTCAAGAAAACAAACATCCTCTCCTTTTATTAGCACCACATGGCAGTATTTTGACTAGCGAGCTTATGCTACAAGAAGCCGAAGACAGTGGGACTGCCAGAAACTGATGGATCGGTGCTCCCGCTCTCCCTGTCTGCCAGGGAGGGACAGCCGGCACCGGTGCCCACAGCAATGCTGGTACTGGGCAAACAGCCAGCGGCAAAGCAAGACTAGAGATCCTAACACGTGAGCAGTGATGTCATGTCTGTGTGATGGGAATCCTGACTTCACACGACAGCACTGCTGGCTGGAGACCGTCACCCACGACTGGGTCTGACAAAGACACAGCCCTTCGTTATTTAGGATGCAAGTTTGAATGTCACCGAATTCACATCCTCCTCTATAGACCCTCGCTGTTAAGGACAGACTTGTATAGTGTAACCAACTGATAATCAAAGTCTACTTTTTTTTAAAGCATTATTTCATGAAGGTGACTCACTAGCATCCTGTTCAGTGTCATTTCTGCTAATTGTGACCAAGCAGCTCTCCACTTCCAGCTTCTTCAGTTATGAGGGCAGTTATTCCCTGCAGTCATGGCATTAATCAAAGTTTTAATAAGGAGGATTGATTACATTCTTGGTCTCCGAGTAGGGGTTTTCCACAAAGCTCAACTGACAAACCACAACAGATTTAGAAAGAAAGGAGAGGAGAGCTCATCAGCTGGTCCACACCTTCCAAGCTCTCTTGCACAGAAGATAGCTGCAAGCCTCACTGCCTTCAAGACAAAGATCGCACCTAAATAAACTAAAATGTAATTACAGGGTACGTGCTTTCCTAGAAATCACACAGATTTAGGGATTCTGCTTATGCTCACACGTTTTGGGGCTTCTAGCATGAATTACTGTGGTCACAAGTCAAAAGACTTTCAAGACATCTTTGCTCAGTATGATGGAAAAGCTGATAGAATAAAACCTGGAGGAAGGAAAGACGTGCTCCACATTACTGGAAAGGCCACTTGGGGTAAAACTCTCAAAACCCTTTTCAAGGACAACCCCAAACCTATTTTTGTGATTTGAGGGCAGAATTCCAGCAGAATTTTTCTCCCCGTGTTTCAAAGCAGATTGCTTTTTTCCAGATGCGAGGAAGTGCACCTAAAGGTTGCACATTTTGAGCCAAGCTATTACTTTGCAACATGTCTTTTCTTTCTCACAATCTAGTAAGTGCCTTTGCTACAGGGGCTGAATGAATACAGTATAGGACAGCCCTGGATCATATGGCGTTGCTCCATATGGGACTCCAGCCACGACCAGGATCTCTGCTCCCAGGGGACAGGATGCCTGCTGCAAGGGTCTGCACTCTTGGGTGCTGATGATCACCCTTAGCATCATGCAAGTCAGACGACATCTGCAATAACGCGGGGGTTATGACAGCTACTGGCACGTGTCCCAAGCAGTCAGCGTGAAACACACTCAAAGAACAGCCGGTTTGGGGAGGGAGAAGAGTCAACCAGCACATCCAGGGTGCAACCACAGCAAGAATACTCTAATGCGCACATGGTACCTCCTTCACCTCCTCTCTGGGAGACCAGAAAAGCCATTAATCAAGACAACGTGCAGATAGAGCTATTGAAAAAGAGAGCAAGAGCAGGAACCTGCTGTCTGTACCTGCGTATTCTTGTTCGTGCACCGCTCTCTGTGCCTTGCCACAAACATGTCCGCTGTACTCCCTGAGTACTCCACAGATTTAGACATTCTGAGCATAGGTCTGGATTCAGGAAAATCCATTTCTACCCCCTTGTTATATTCTATGTAACTGTCTAATTTTTAAAACAATCCATATGCAACATATATTAATAGTCAGATTCAAATCCAATCTGCATTAAACTTCAGAAATGTTATATCTGGCAGCAGAACTGCTGCACATTTGGTCCTTATTTAATATTATTCATAGGGTTTTGGGCACATCAAAGTCTATTAAGAAAAAATATCTGTCAAAAAAGATTGCCGTAATTGATTAATAAAGCAAACATGGCCAGAACTCAAAGCCCAAGCACACAGATCACCCTGCTCTGTCAGTCAGCGCAGGAAACGACGAGCAGACCTGCGAGATGCTCATGTGCAATACCGGGGTGGGTTTGCTGGTGCTGCCATTCTGCAGCTGCTCTCCCCGCTGCCCCTGGGCAGCAATGCAAAATATTTGCAAATTCTACTGATCTGTCACAGGGCTGCAATGGCCAACAGTCACAGGCACGAGTATGTGGGTCCGCTCTTTGTAGGGTTTGGAGAATCTCACCCCCATCCTCATCATTTGGTGACGTCCCTGCTGCCAGTGCCACTTCCCCACTCCTCAAAGGGAAATGAGGCCAACACCGCTCCTCATAGAGTCATCCCACCCTCTCCACCCTTGCAGGTCTTACATTCCTTCTGGACTGAGCCGACAGAGGGCTGCGGGGGGACATCAGGACCCTTGTCAGGACACTCAAAGAGCCACCTCTAGGAACGAGCAGCAGAGCTAAGCCAGCAGCATCTGCACATGGGCACTTTGTGAGCACTGAAGAAAAGGCTCTCACGAAACAGCGTATAACACAAACCACCTTTGTGGAGAAGGAAACCATATGAGCAATATTTGAACGCTCAGCACCAGCACAAGAGTGCTCCTGTGTTGCTGTGGCAATTGCAGGATTTTTTTTGTCAGCCTGAACTGATGCACTTTTGTTTTCCGATGCTTGCAGGCAGCTCTGGTGCCTCCTGCTCTGGGAAGGGTTGGCCAACCTGCAGCAGTGGGAAGCCTCAGCAGACTTCAGTCCTGCCATCCATTACCTCATGTGCCCTGGGAAAGCTTGCAGCATGCGCATCAGCTCAGCACCCATCCAAGGAGGAGCAGGACAGCAGGAGCTCCCCCCTGCCCCATCCTCTCCTCCTGATCTCCTCCTCATTCCCCAGATTCCTCTACAGGAGGCATCATGGGCCAGCACATCCAAAAACCCAACAGTTAGGTGACTCGGAGGCAGAAAGAGAGGAGCAAGGCACCATTTCTCTTCCCTTTGAGGAGCCAAAGGAGAATGAGAGTCATCTTTGACTTCACCAACAAGCTATTAGTCAAGAGATGGGTACAAAAGATGGAGATCTGCTCAGCTCCATCCACCTCCCGGTAGCAGGCTGCTGCTGGAGACAGGGTCTCTCAGAGACCACACGGTGGGAAGGCAGGGCAGGCTGCAGGCAGAGTGCTGGCAGGAGGGTCTAGGGAAAAGAGCTGAAAACAGAGGGAAGAGACAAGCTGCAAAACAGAGAGAAGGAAGAGAAAGGAGTGAGACAGAAAAACGAAAAAAGAGAAGACCATTACAAGAGAAAATAATGCACCACCATATGAAGTGAATCACTGCCACCAGATTAGGAGGGCGCGGTGGATTTTGGAAGTAGCCGAGACAGAGGCACGCTGGCCGAGGCAGGTGCAAACAGCACCCGGGCATGCCGTGCTCCAGAAGGGCAGGCATCGGGCAGCGCCCTTAGGAAGACTCCCAATAGCTCCATCAAAATAATGCTGACCATGGCCCCCAGGGGGGTCCGGCGCTGGGCGCTCCCCGCCACTGCGGCGCTGCCCAGCCTCCTCGGGCCACTAGCAAGCCGATTCAACAAAGCCTAACTTGGGTGGAGGGTAATTACAGAGCTGGGTTTAAGCCAGGAGCCTGGGCTTTGCCAGCCCAAGGAAAGCACAGCAAGAGCTGCACAGAAAAGTAACAAACATGACGCTTCAAAACCACACACAGAAACTGCTTAACCTCTGGAAGGACCACAGGCAGAGCAGAGGGCTTTCCAGATTTCAGATATGGATCTCCTCTCCCCAGAAAAGCAAGCTGGAAAACCAGCCTTTGTGCAGGGCTGCTGCTGCCATACCTGCGGTTCTGGCTCTATGTTGATCCGGTACGCCTGGGCCTTGCCATCTTCCAGAACAGGGGGTGACCAGGTCTTCCCTTCAGCTCTGCAATGGGGAAATACGTAAACTCAACTTAAATTGATTAAAAAAAAAACAAAAAAAACAAAAAAACCAAACAACCCCCCCAAACAAACGACAAAACCCCCAGACTTCTTAAAAAAAAAAACAAAAAACACACCACAACCCACACATATATATAGTATGTAGGCCTGCCAGAGAACAAATATATATATATATATATATGTTTGTCTAAAATTATCCTCAGAAAGAGTACAGTGGTAAATAGAGAAGATGTCAGTTCCATGTTATTAAAACCACGAAGATCAAAACCATTCTTGAACTACAGGCTCCAACTTCATGTGACGTTTAAGATACAAACTTATTTCAGTTCACTAAATCAGGAGACAGGCTTGTGGTGGTTCTTGTTTTGCGTACTCCTGGCTTTGCCGCTTTATTCTGGCCCTGAATCCGCAGGAATTATATAAATGCCTTTCAGCAAGAAGGCTTACACAATCCTGTATGAATCATCTTGACCCTTTCAACACGGGTGCTGGATAGAAAAAGTCCTAAAAATACAGTTTCCATTCACAAATGCATCTTCAGTCCTGCCAAGCAGAGCAGGACGCTGCCTCTGTCCAAAGATTTTCCCTGTGCCTGATCACTTTTTCCCCGCAGAGGTGGCTGGGGGCACGTCTGGGATACGATTGCCAGCGTGGCCGTCCTCTCCAACGCTCGGGGCACAAGGGAGCTGCAGGGGCCCGGGCAATGTCCAGCAGGCACATACACAGGCTTTTCTGGATGCTAAGAGGTTGAGTTGGGAGATGGAAACTGCATGAAGTGTAAGATAAAGTTTTCAAATGCAAACTCTTCTGTTTATCATCACAATCTGCACATGCACCACTTAATGAAAATAAGTCTTGCTCCGATAGGCACAGATCAGTCACCGTGGCCAAGCATCCTTCGCTGGACTCTGGCCGCTGCCACAAACCACATTCTGCTTTGGTTTAATTATCTGCAGAGTCCAAGTTTGAAGAATAAGGAGCACGGCTTTAACCCAGGAATGCTTGAGATGATTTTTTTACCTTTGGTATTTCACATCTAAACCAGTCAGCATACAAACCTACCTTTCCAAATTCAAGGTCTGATCCAAAACCTATCAAAAGCAAAGGCTCCCACTGGCTTTAACACACTTTGGATCCACCCCCTGAGGATTTAAGCTTTTTTTTGTTCCAAACCGCTACTCAGGACTACCGTCACAGCTTTTTCAACTGGGAATAAAGTACCCTTTCTGATAGCTAGATGTCTTGTTCTGATAAATCATCTTTACTGTAATTATTTGACTTGACGCTGAGACAAGTCACTTTAAGTTGGTCTTCCCAACTGTTTTCAGTGGGACAAAGGAAACCGTCCTTCCCAGGAACGGCAGCATTCCTAGCAATCCTGACTTGCTTTTTGCCACAATCCAGCGCTGTATATATTGTTTCCACATTGATAATTTCATCTAGAGACCCAAAACAATGAAAATGCCTAATTACCTTGGCAGAAATCACCATTATTATTTCCATGCTTTTTCCCCTGCCTTGAATCAGCCTGATGTGTGCTCACACTGCCACTGAGATGGGGCAGTTACAACACCCCCCTTCGCTCAGCCCTAGAGCCCACATACCAAACACAGCTTAAAGGATCCCTGAAGACTTCAATTTGCCAATAAATAACTGAGATTCAGAAAGTGACTCTGACTGCAGAAGAGAAGAGAGATAGCAGTAAATTCACTCTGCATTAAGCTACAGCATTCGGTCACCAGTGCTGCCAGCACTTTCTACTTGGAGCGTCCCAGTTCCCCATACCCCTAAATGAACAAAGATCACACCAGCTGTAGCACAAAGCAGCTAGACTTGTGTTTTCCAAAAATCATTATAGGTATCTTCACACTTAATAAAAGACATGGCCAGCCTTAGGTTTGCATGTAGAAGCCCATTTGTAGTTAGTGCTTTTAATGATTAAACTGAAGGCTTCACCAAGCAAGACAGCCTCGTGCACCTTCCAGCAATGGCCTGAGCAAAGCCAGACTCACCTCAGCCACAGCTTCCACTTGAACTACTCTGAAATTAAGCTGATACAGCATGATTTAGGTTTATTTGGCACTTTTAAAAGCAAAGCAAAGGAGACTGGGAGAAACACCAGCCTCACCAGAGAGAAATGCAAGTTGCATGTTTGATGAGCATTTATGCTTACACAAAGAGCCTCCCTCTTTTCCATGGGAAATACAAGGTAATCTGAAATAATTAAGAGGTGACTGCCCAAGTGTGCGATGCCATGGGCAGCTACTGCAGAACAGCTGATGCCCTGAGCTCGCACCCCAGTCCCAGCTGCAGGAACACCCCCGTGCCCATGTCCCGGGCAGGACAGGGGAGCTGAGCAAGCCCTGGAGCAGCTCAGCACGGCCACCCCCAGCCACCCTGGCAGCAGGTTCACACTACCAACAGTCAGAGCTTTATGTTTAGGCAACAGCAAAAAACTAATCACGCTTTTCTAACATAATGTGTGAGAGATCAGACATTGCACTCAAATGTTCCGAGTCATTAAATTTACTGCTCATGGATGAGAAAAGTGTTTTCAGATGTGTTGTAGGGGATTAAAGTCAGCTATGTGGAAAGCATTACTCTGCACTAACAACGCTCTACTCTATTTTAACGGCTGCTAGGACAATCCTAAGAAAAATAACTTGACCTAGGTTAGTGCTAGGCCTTCAACACGGGGCTTTGTGGGAAACAGACCCATTAACAAGACATAACTAAAAAAAAAAAATAGTTGCAGACACCTTTTATCCCACGATTTGTTTTCTAAAAGACTCAACGTCATTCTCAAAAGATTACTTGCATATGCTCACATATTTTACCAAAATGTTTTTTCACCTGGTAATGATCTGCAAGTCTTGCTCTCTACATTTGTAGAACTGCTTTTAAGTTGCAAGAATTCCTCGGTCTTATTGAATTTCTAATTTCTCCATCCCCTTATAAACTAACATTTAGCACCTGGGAAAGTGCCAGACTGGACCTGGGACACTGCCATCTGCTATTGTGCAGCTGCGCCGGTCTGAGCGGGCGACAGCTACGCAAACAGCGATAGGGTTGTTCTGGGGGTATTTTACCCCAATCTGTATAGTCCCTTCGGGGGGGGGCAGGGGGGGTGGTGTGACTCCAGGTTCCTGCCCATCTCCTGAATGCTATTCACCTCCCATGATGGCACATCACTATGGTCACAACTGATTTTTATCACCGATATGGCCATTAGCCTTCTAGGACCTGGGCTGAGTCTAGAAGCAGCTACAGCTGATGCTTCTAATTTCCCAGGACTGTGAACCTCGCCGTGATAGCCATAAGGTGTTGGATCCGCCCCTGCAGCCTGATGTAGGGCTTTCACCTGCCGTGCAAGGTGGGCAAGGCTTTGCACAGGCTGGTGAACAGGCACAGGAGCCGAGCTCAGCCGAGCACCCCAACGGACCCAGGTTGTCCAGGGTACGTGAAAGAGAAGCTGAGGGATTTCTCCTCCTTTGTTCCTCTCAGCTGAAACCATTGCTGTACACAGGCTCTGGAAAGCTGCCGGTTTTCCCCTCTATTAGTCCTCAAGTAGCTCCAGAGGGGAAGCTGTGATTCACTTTTTCAGTTGTACTTTTACTGGAAACTTGAGAACATCATACATTGTCATCCTTCCCATCTTCCAGCTCGCAGCAAACAGACCCCAACAAAACCTCCACGAGCTGGGGGAGGCAGGAGGAGGGACTCGGAAGAACATCAACTACGTGAGGTTCCACGGACTTTTGGGACTACATGTCCAGCAGACTCATTACTGGGCTTTCTCTTTTAGAAACTCCATCTCTATACAGAGAGCAGGAATAAATAGAAAATCTTCATACTCAAAGCCTCCAAGCAGACTCAGCAGAGCTGTAATGGTGCATCGGTCCGTGTTGGTTCTCTGCACACTACGTGTCCCCAGGCAAGCGGGGTTTGGTTATCCATCCTGCACAGATCGAGGTTGCAAGCCTCACTGCAGTTCTGCACTTGGGCCGCTGCTTTCCTTGGTCAATCAGTCTCAAGCAAATGAGAACAAATCTGATCCGCATTGTGAGCGCAACACCGCACGCCGCTGCCATCTGTAAAGGAATTTGGGTTTTCCCGTCCCATGCACGCTAGCTCTCTTCCTTTACAGCCCCTTGTCCTTGCTCCGCCAGGGTTGCATAGAGCAAAACACTCCCCCCAGGTCCGCTGCGCTGGACAGGGGTTTCCACAGCTGCTATTTAAAGAGAAGAGTTACCACCTCTGAAATACCTTCCCTCCGTGGGCAAGGGCCCAGCAGTGCCACTTGTGCAGCATGCACACCAGACAGAAGGGGAAGAAACTGCTTCCAGGATTTATTGTAGACAGAAGGAACCAAACCTGAACCTTTGAGGATTTATGCTTTGGCACCACAGTCAGGAAACAAACACAACACGACGACTCCGGGGTCCCTGGCTGTGCCAGGGGCCAGGCAGACGCTGCCAAGTCCTCCAGCACCCACCCAACCCCGTGCACAAACAGCTCCAGTGTTATTACCAAAAGAAAGGGCTGTAATTGGATTGGCTGGGAAGAACAGCATCCAAATTATTATTTTTTATTTTTAAGGAAGTCTCACAACCCACATGAATTCCTCCCCACACATCAGAGGAACATGAACACGTTACTCCTGGGGCAGAGGAGCCAGAAAGCACACTTCTTGCCTGATAAGGAATTTCTTCATTTGTGTAACTTAGAGACAACTTCACAGTGAGAAAAAAAGAAAAACAAGTTCTATGTTCACAGTGATCATCCTTACCCACACATTTACATTATTTAAAACTCTGAAATCCTTGGCCTCCAGACAAATGCATGCATTTTGTGGCTCAATACCAAGATCTACATAGCACATTTCTGTGAGTAATAATTCATGGGTTTGCTTAACACCCAGGATCTTCTCCAACCAGCTGCCACATACCTGCCCTTACCCTCCCTTGCAGATGCCAGTAAGGC